TGAGGGGTTGCCCTCCTGTGCTGAATCACGCTCCTGTGTAGCGGTTGTTTGCTCTCTCCAATGTAGAGCTCTGGGCACTCTTGACTACACTGAACAGCGTTAACCATGTTGTCGGTCCTGTTTCTGGGTGTCTTGTCTTTGGGGGGAACCAGTTTTTGTCTCAGGGTGTTGCCGGGTTTGAAGTGCACAGGGATCTGGTGCTGATTGAGAATCCTCCTGAGTTTCTCAGAGACCCCAGCAACATATGGAATGACGATGTTCCTTCTTCTGTTTTCCTCCCTCTCAGCAGGCCTCTTCTTGTTGTTTTTTTAAAAAGTCCATTTGGGATAAGCACAGTTATCTGAAAAAAAAGGTTTATCTTTCCAGTAGGTGAAGGATAATGTCTGTTGGTTCTCAACACGGCCAATTACAGAAAAATAACAGCATTGCTGAGTGATAGCGTCACTTGTAAAGCTTTGAAGCGGAACCCTACAAGCAACCAAAAAAGGGAAGCTAAAGATCATCTTAATACCTGAAGATGGCTTTAGCGGTTATCAACTTAATTTTTACCAGATTTTACCCTGGGGAAGCCACTCGATACAGGGAGGGAATCCAGCTCAAATGGGGTAGGCAATACTGGGAATTTTGGTATATCGCTACAGGACTAGTGTTCCTGACACTTTTTACTTGAACTGTCATGATCATTGAACAGTTTTTGTCTTCAGCTAGTTATACCATAGAACACAAGTAGACTGAATTTTGGCAAATCCAAATGTTTTTTATTAATTAAAGAATGTAATCATGCATACATTAATAAATTAATTAATGTATGTAACAATGCATGGATGTACACCCATATGTACCAGTTCAAAGCTCCAGCTTTTGCACGGTCTTCCAGGGTTTCAGGATATCCAGGCGATAACTGTAGGACAGTATTTAACTGTATTTAATGTCTAACTGTTCACTGTTGACATGTTTGTCATAACCAGTCACATCAGTGAGTGAAAAAAAACATGGTTTAATTCTAAAATCATTGACAAAAACAATGAATGCTGTCTTTTTCAGTCTGCTGGCACATTCAGCTCAAACAGGAACTTAAATGAGCAGCAGCTCATGGAGGCTGAACTGTAAACTTGATTGATCCGGCCGTCGAATGCTATGCATCCCTCTCATAGCCAAGGATGGGAGAAAGCCATCTCTCCACCTCCTCCACACTCATCTCTTTCCTTCTGGCATAGTCTTCCACCTGCAGATAAAATGAGCAGACAGAAAAAAGAGAAAGCTCAAATCTTGTATTTGCCCTGCCAGCTGTACTAAAACACATCCTGTCGTTTTGATGTTCGTTTATATTGTTCTCGCTGAAAGCTCCTGGATTTGGACTTGCAGTACTCAATTGGGGTCCAAAATCTTGTTCTTAGTTTGTTCAAAGAAAGAAACACATCAGTAACACTTTGCCATATTAAGGGTCATGTGTATTGAACCAGCATCAACTGCTGGCTTTTTCGGGGGGGTCCATTTATAGTCTATTAATCTGTTAGTAACAGTCTGATATTGGTAAAATATTTCTGGTAGAACATGGCAGCTAATAAAAAGATAAAGTTTTATTATACTTATTGGGCAAACTTAGACAAACTGCTCGGTATGTCTGACACTACTGATCTTACGCATACATAATACTAGTTAAATAACCGTATTTCCTCATAACGCAGATAACCGTCGAGTTTACAATATTTGACTATGCAGCCTCTAAACAACAGTATTTACAGGCTATGTGTGGCGGATGTTAATGAACCCAAATAGAAAAACATTTTTTTTTTTTTAAATTTTCTTCACTTCCATGTGCAAATATGAGGACAGTTAAACTTTAAAATGTTTTCTGTCAGCGAATCAAAAAGGAGTCAGAGCATTTGCCAAAGCAGAAAATCTGAAAATGAAAACATGCCGGTATTTTAGAGCATGGTCTTACCTGTTCCTTGGTGATCTTTCCAACATTGAAATACGAGGCCTGAGGGTTGGAAAAGTAAAGTCCAGACACTGAAGCAGCAGGGGTCATCGCTAAGGACTCTGTCAGACAGATACCTAAGAAACACAATGCACCATTGTTATGAAAAGAATCCATCCATCCATCCATCCTCCATCCATCCATCCATCCATCCATCATCCATCCATCCATCCATCCATCCATCCATCCATCCATCCATCCATTTTCAAGTTAAGTCTTGAGATTTGAAATCTGACATGCAGTGCTGCATGTTCAAGACTGAAATAGTTTATGGCAAAGGAAAGAAAAATTGTACATAGGCGCCTCGTTGGAGATGTCTTGATAGAAGGCACTGGTTCCTATTTATATACTAAAGGGAAAGGAAAACCTGTCCATGGTGTGTTAGCAACACCTTTTGGTGCTGAAGGGGTACGGTCACCACCACTAGGATACCCATCACATCCGGAAAAACCTAACACCACACCTGAGCCACAGAAAGGTAAAGATAGGCCGGGCTTTGAAAAGAAAAACCAAAAACAATCGTTTCCAGCCACAGCAGAAGATCTAGTGATGCACGTGGTAGGGCTAGCTAGCTTCCTCCCCATGAACCGGTAGTGGCTCAGAAGCCCCGCTCTGGAGGGAGTCTGTGGCGCTTTTATGTGATTTGGTGCTCTGCGGAGCAACAGGAGTCACAGGAGTTTCTGGAGTGGAGCCTATGATGTGCACCCCCACCACAAATGGCCTTTTCTCTGCCCTCCCTGAAGGGTGGAGGTGGACTGTCAGCTTGGCTACACAGGGTGCACATCCACCATCGAAAAAAAGGTGCTGCAGCCAAGAAGTCAAAGAAGTACAAGCTGCAGATCAAAGGCAAAGTTTTTGGATACGTTTTTCATAAATCAGGAAGTCATTTCTGGGAAGTCATTGGGGATTGGTCACATCATATGGCTAGATTGCTCATTTCAACCCCACCAACCATCCTACAACATTAGAATATCAGTGAGTAGGTTTGTTTTAGCAGGAAAGAGGTATTATGCTTGTGTGTAGTTCCTGTAAATACCAGGAACTAGTCCATGCATGAGGTTGGCCAATGGAAGTGTTGGGGAGGTTTGGGGGTGTTCTCACCAGTGTTCTCCTGAACAGCAGCCAGGCTCCACATGACCTCCTTCTCCGTGTGGTCCGGCTGGCAGGGGTAGCCCGCCGCAGGCCGGATGCCTCTGTAGCGAACTCTGTGGAGGTCTGACGTTTGCAGAGCCTCATCAGCAGAATAGCCCCACAGCTCCTTCCGGACCTTACTGTGGAGCTCCTCAGCAAATGCCTGGAGGTAACAAAAGAAAAGGGCCAAGAGTGGAGTTAATGGTAAATGGGTTGAACTCGCGTAATGCTTTTCCAGTTGACCACTCAAAGGGGATTTCACACTAGAAAAACCACTGATGCTATACACCTTACTGCAAGACGTCAGCGGGTACGAGGCCATTTCCCTTCTGAATGTAACCAATAGAATTAAACAATAACTTTGGGTCTATACGGCAAACACATTTGGAACTATTAAAAAAGCGGAATAACTTTTTCTGGACATTGAAACCTCTCTATATATTTTTCACTTTCTACAGTTCTTGTACCTCAGCAAGGCGGTCAGCCAGAGCTTTGACCATGATGCTGCTGTAGTCATCTCCTTTGGTCTGGAACTGCTGACTCAGCTCCTCGGCTCCAAATATACCCACTGCAAACATGCCTATATAATCCACAGCATTGCTTTCTGTGGGTGCCACGAAGTCCGAAATACAGAGATAGGGCTCTGAACTGGAGCTGTCTTTCTCTGCCTGCGGCAAACACACACACATACACACACATACACAAAAACACTTTGCTTTATTCTGGTAGTTAATTCATCCAATTTCACATAGCGTGACTTTTCCAACACAACTTCACCGTAATAAAAGTTAATTCTGTATTTCAACAACATGAAAACCGTAGAAGAATGAGTTCAGAGAGCAGAGCTGAGCTGTTTTAGTACCCAGTCCTTTACAAAACGGACCAGCTTAAAAAAAACAAAACAACAGTTCTCCACTTGGAGTTTCTCACCTGCTGCCGTAAGCCATGGAACACAGCAATGGGTTTGGTGCCTTTGTCCTCTGGAACCTCTTTGTACAGATTGATGTCATCACCGTTGCTTTGAGCGTGCCAAAAGCCCACCAGGCCTCGTCCAGTCAGGCTGCCGCTCTTAATCATGCGGCTGAGGAACAACTGGGCATCATCAAAGACTCTGCGAGCCTCCGAACCTGCAGAAGGAAGTCAGTTAGGAAAGAAAGAAGAATTTAGCACAATTCACTAAAACCACTTAAAATCAACATACTGAAAATGTGTGTATAGCACCAATGACTTTAATGATGTGACATTGTCCAGCAATTTGAGAGGATGCAACCTAAATTATAACTTTTTAAACATACATACATACATAGAATTAAATTGAAAATGTATTTTTGTGTGGGCCTTTTTTTAAAGCATTGACATAGATGGAGATATCTGAATCCTTTTGTAAATAACCACAGGTCTGGAAAAGCACGGTGAGGTAACTGTTGTTGTGATTTGGCGTTACATCAAAATGTTTTAATTGAATTGGATTTTAAGTACAGAGGTAAACTGTCCCCTGGATAAATTGGTCATAAGGAAAGTTTGCTTTCCCAATGAAATAGGGATGAGAAAGAGGAGAAAAGAGTAACACAGGAAAGGGCTGAGACTAGGCTTGTTCCGATCCGATATCTGGATCGGATCGGCCACCAATATTTGCAAAAAAAATAGCACTGTAGCCATTTCATTGACACGAACCAACCACAAACATGTCTTTAGAAGTAAAAAACTATGTGGACAACAAGAGACCAAGGAGGGCTGACTCTGAGGGAATGTGATTTGTGGTCAAACCAAAAAGAAAGCGTCCAGACTATACTGAAGTGGAGGAGTACACAGTGGAAATGACAGAGATAATACTATGAGCCATACCAACAACACTGTCCTTGAAAATCTTTGGATATCCTCTGTTAGGGTATTTTCCTCGTAGTTGCCACACGTCAAAGAAAGGCTTCCAGTCAATAAAGTCCACCAGACGGTTCAAGTCATAAGATTCAAACACATGGGTGCCAAGGAATCGAGGGCGCACTGAAAGACAATGACAGTAATTCCCTACTTTTGTAATATCACGAATCATTTGATATTATCTGTTCTCAAAGCAAAAACAAAGTTTAGTCCATCCATCCATTTTCCATACAGTTTCAATTTATAGAACAGTATTATATACAAAAGTAATTTTAACTCATTTTAATTTAACTACCGGTAATTCCAGAATGAATTATCCTCTTCAGGCTTACCTGGCCTAGGGATTGAGGTCCAGTCTATGTGTAAAGCCTTCTCTCTGGCCTTTGTTAGAGACAGATACCTACGATCCTGGAATGAATGTAGGAAATACGAAGATCATTTGCCACTGCCGGACATCAAATTCCTTCCAATGTCAGTCAACTAAGCATTGATTTCATGCCGTCTTATGTTGCACAACACCCAAACAAATAGAAAATAAGTATGTTTAATTAAAACACACACAACAAATAATTCTCAAGAAGATGTAGCAAATATGTCCACAGCGGGCTGCCGTAGCCAGCTGTTAGTTCAGCAGCAATCAGCATGCAGAGCCATCTCATTAGCAGTTTTTAGGATTTATATATATCTTCATAACCTGTATGTATAGGCCAAGGGGATTTTACATCCGTCAAGATAATGCTGGATATTCCCGTCAATTACTACGATAAATGATATGGATGTAGCATTATCAAACAGAATGAATATAGGTCCTTCTCATATCAGGTATTGCGAAACACACCATACCTTAAGTGTGTCATAGTGATCCTGCCTGACCTCTTCATACTCCTCTTTCAGGCTCTCAAAGTACTCCTCCTTGTGTGAATCATCCATTAGCTGTGAGCACTGACACACAGAAAGACAAAAATGATCATTTTTATTATTCAAAGTGGCATCTGTAGCATGTCAGCAGAAAAAAAAGAATGTGTGATTACGATGAATAAATGCCAGCATGACACAGAAGTAAAAGTTAAAACAACTTTGCAAAAATAAAGAACAAGTTTTCATATCATCCCTGTCATTATCTGAATGTAAGCCACTATATAAAAAATAAAGCTTGAAAACTATTGTTAAGCAGATAAAACAATTTTTTTTCAATGAAGTTTGTAATTAATTTCTTTACGCTTTAATGAAGCAAATAAATAAACAAAACATTCTATAGTAGGTAGTCATACCTCTGATCTATATTCAGTTAAATTCAGTTCAATAAAACATTCCCATACACAACCACAGCAGTATGAATTGTTTTTAAAATACATTCTCATTATTTTGCTTTGAATAAGACTTATATCAGCCGCATAACAAAAGGTCGAAGAGGGTTGAAGGGGTGTTGGTGAAAGAGTTCAGCTTAATGACTAAACATATACATATTATGAACTGGACTGAAATGGAAAGAAGCATCTATTTACTACTGAAGTGAATTTGTGTTGCGCATATTTCATTTTTCTGACAAGTTCATTGAGATTATCTTTGAATTGCTAAAAAAAGTAGATTTTTAATCAACCAGCTAATAAAAACATTGGTATGCACATACCCAGAAACAATGAATTCAAATGGCGTTATTCACTGTTATTCAGAGGGAATGAGAAAACTGCAAATGAAAATCATCTTAAATTACAGCCCGCTAGCCTGGACTGGCACCTTTGAGATCTTCAAAAGAATATGTGGGAAACAGACATCAATATCTGACCAGAATGTGGTAAACCTAATTTCCATGCTGTTATGACTTACCAAGAAAATGTAGAGAGCATAAAAGTCTGGTCATGTTTTAAAGATAATTTGACAGAGAGGCCACAGTACTTAGAAGGGCAGAATATCTTCGGAAAGAGAGAGAGAGTAGTAGACTTTCCACCTGACTCTCCGCCTTTAGGAGAGATAGCTCATGAGATGGATGTTAGACCACCAAGCTGGGAAGAGGCTGAGAAAGTAGTCACCTGATGTACTAAAGTTCTTGTGGAGGCAGCTAAGAATAGTTTGGGAGAAATAGAACATTAGTAGGGCATGTTGTTGGCCCTGTGATGGACTGGGGACCGTCCAGGGTGACCCCGCCTCTGGCCCACTGACCGCTGGGTTAGGCTGCAGTTCCCCCCGCGACCCCATTAGGGAATCAGCGGTTATGATAGTAGATGATGGATGGATGTTGTAGGGCTGGAGGCATCCTGATTCCAAAGGAGAAAGAGTCTTCAGACCTGAAGTGATTCCAAAGGAAATTCTAAAATTCCAAGCAAGGACTATCGTTGTCTGTCAATGGCTGAAATTAATTAGGGTTTCTTCTCTTTACTTTCGAAAATTTGGGGGAAAAGACGACAGAATCTGTTGGCATAGTTGAGTGTAAGTGAACTCTTTACAGTGCGTTTTCTAGTCAGCAGCTTCAAACCAACCGGGGGTGACCTGAGTCCAGTCCTGTGTGTGATGACATCACTCTTTCTGCTCCCTTTGAACCTGTCATAATAGCTTAAAGCCCTGGAGAATATCGTTCAAGTTTTATTTTTCCCACAGACCTCTGCATGAATTCAGCTGAAGTTAAAATGAGACGTCCTACCACTACTGCAGTCCTGGAGGCGTCGAGCACGTGGATGACAGGAGAGGTGTAGCGTGGTGCGATCTTCACTGCCGTGTGCGTCCTGTCAAACACAACACACTTTTACACAACACACTGTAAGCACTACAATGGTAACTTTGGCACGAACAAAGACAGGCTAAAACAAATACTTTCACCCTTTAATTTTGTATATGCCGAGTGGGTTTGTGTGTGTGTATTTGCAGTACTTTGAAGTGGTGGCTCCACCAATCAGCAACGGCGTCGTCATATTAAGTCTCTCCATTTCTTTGGCCACGTAGATCATCTCATCTAAAGACGGGGTGATGAGGCCTGACAAACCAATGATGTCTGGAGGAACAAAAGAACAGCCAGGAGATGGAAGCAGAGAGCAGAGTTTCACACACATCTCATTATGAGTAAAAAGCTCACATTAGTCAATACCCTGAGAGAACTAGCATTCTACTTTTTTGTTATGCTGATCGATGCAGTTTTCCTCAACATTTGAGAAAGTTTCTTTTCCTTACTTTCTCAAAACTGGACTGAACAGTTGGTTCAGGACAAAAAACTCACATATCTGAGTGAATGTGATCATTTTCTGTCAACATGAGCAAACAATAAGATCAATGATGAAGTCCACTATTGAACAGGAGCTCCAGCTACAAACGGCTCCGAGTCAAAATCATAAACATATTTCATACCAGCTTTCAGGGCCACAGCTTTGCTGAGAATCTGGTCACAGGGAACCATCACACCCAGGTCGATCACTCTGCAACATCACACAGAAATGAGCAGAGCTGGAAACTACTGTTCTCAATGTGAACTGATCAGGGATTCATCAGTTCATTAATCAAAACTCAAGTTCATCCACTTCATCCTGGCATTTCTATATTAACAACAGCTCTAGTACTAGCATGTTATGTATGTTTTTAAAGTAAGCTAGCAGCTATGGTGTTGTACATGCTGCCAGTGAAACATTTGCACGCATTTGACTGTGTGTGAATTGCTTATTTGGGATGCTTTTGAACCAAAAATGTCTTCTTGATATGACTGGGCATCGTGAGCAAATGTTTCTGATAGAAGGACAATCAGGTGGTAAACACAGAAATGAGAGAAGCTCTGCACAAGTGTCACTTCAGAGTCGGTTTATAAAACATATAAATATACATTCACACACTCATTTTACCTGAAGTTGTTACAACCTAACACCACTCCAACAATGTTCTTGCCAATATCGTGGACATCTCCCTTCACCGTAGCCAGAACGATGGTACCCTGATAAGGATCCTGCAGACGATGGAGAAACCAGTTTATACAGGCTGCAGACATCCAGTAAATTTTGACATATAGAGATGCAAAGATCTCTACGATAAAATGCAAGCAAAAATGTATTATTACTATAACATCTTGTCACCAAACAGAATCTTCCTCTACGGAGACTTACCATTTCCACAACTGATCCTGAGGATGCCATCATCTCCTCCCTCTGCTTCTCCATGATAGGAACCAAGTAGCCCACTGCCTTCTTCATAACGCGAGCAGACTTGATAACCTTTAAATATAAGGAAGCAATCCCCTTAGTCTCTACACGTATACAATTTTATATACGTGTACATGTATGTAAGTGTGCGTGTGTGTAGAACTGATCAAATTGATTGTACCTGTTAAAAAGGATAAATACCAACAAAAGAGGAAAAATCCATATGAATTTTTGGGTCCCACCTTTACACATAGTCTGCCCAGTGTTAATAAATGTTGACATCAGATGAGCAGTGCAAAAAGCAAAGCAGGGTGTGGCTTTGCTGAAAGAGAAAGTGTGTGAGGTGGAACCGTTTGAGCTGGATATGGTTTAGCCCACCTTCCTAATCGGAAAGGGTTTTGGAATCAAACTCCTGGAGAGAGGGCAAGACCTTTCTACTCATGAGTTCCCCATGGGAAGAGCCACCAGACAGATGATGGGATGCCCACAATACCCCATCTGTGACAGAGAGTCCAGCTAATCTGTACATCCATCTCAAAGAGGCCTTCAGATGACACATTCATACTTTATAATGTTGTACAGGGAGTCCCACCTGCTGATTCCACTGTTCCTTACAGGCTCCTCAGTGGCAAGGCACGTTCATCTGTACAGCACATTTTGTGTACAAGACCATTCAAAGTGCTTCACAAAGATTTTAAAAGCAGAAAAACAAGAAAAGAATAAACAATTAGAAAAATTAGACAGATAAAAAGTGAAGGGTGCAGATAAAATCCATCCAGTTTCCATCAGCTCAGTGAAACAGATGTTTTCATCTGGATTTAAACATTCAGAGTCAGGTTCTGTCTTACTTCTTCTAGATTTTTAGGAGCATGGAGCTGAAATGAAGCTTCAGCAGATTTAGTTCTGACTCTGGGCCCCATCAGGAGACCAGAACCTGGTTCTCAGAGTCCAGCTGGTTCATCTGGCTCTAACAGGTCAGACAATGAAGAAACCAGAACACCAGCAGAGCTGTTTTAGAGTCTGCTCTCTGAGAGACAGGGAGCCAGAGCAGAGACCAGAGAACTGGACTGATGTGGTCCTATTTCAGTGCCCACATGGACCATGAGAGATCATCCTGGTTGAATGTGGCTGGGATAGAGGGCTTCCCTGATAGGAACCTGAGCAGCATGGTGAACTAATGTGCATTAGAATGCAACTTCATTTGTTAGTGGCACTATCTGCCTTTCTGTTGGCAAAGGTTGCCTAAAAGTGACGGATGCAAGATGTCTACACCAGGAAAAGACAGACATTAGTAACAGATAGGATCACACGTAATCCAGAAAAACGAGGGAAGAACGAGGCTGATTTACATTACTCTTTTACAGGTATGCTGGTCGTATGGAATGATCTCCTATCTTTTAGAAACCATTGCATCTTTTTTCATGACACAAACCACTGAGTGATTTCTGGTAACACAAAGTCCGCCAGTGCCTGTGTCACCTGCAACACAGACCAGTTACACAAGATGACATCAGGAAGATTTTTAAATGAGAAACTGGGCATCTTCTTTGCAGCTGGTAAATTAACTTTAGATGCATCACTGTCTCCTGTTTTTAACACATT